AGACAGAGAGAAAGGAAAGGGAGGATGAATTAAGAATTAAATCAGTTTCACTTTCTATTTTCACCGTCGTTTCCACGTCTTTCAACCCTTTTTTTTTTTTTTGAAGAAGCCAAAGTGGGAAAACACCAGAAAACCCTTTCGTACATTAAGTGATTGAGAGAAACTTTTATCAGCAGTGAGCTGGTAGAAAAGCTGGGCCACCATCTTGTGTCAACCTCATCCACCTACCAGCTGAAACTCCCTGCGACGGTCGTAGGCGTTCTGGATACCCGCGTCCTCCCAGAGAGCGCTGATGGCCGGCAGGTAGCGCAGGAAGACGGACGTCTCCAGCTGCCCGCTCGCCATCTTGGCCGACCGGGTGTCGAACGCCATGAGGCTGTCCCCGTGCTGCTGGTTGTCCTGGTCACCCCACGGGATGTGCAGCTTCTCCCGGGCGTCCACCAGCACACGTACACCTGGGGAGGAAGTGAAAAGAAGTTTAAAGAGGCCCACTGGTGGTATCTTGAAATCAGGCCGGGCAAATGTGAACGAAACCTTTGAGATATGGCTCACAATTTAAAGTTTCACTGAGAAAACTATAAAACTCATGGTGGCGTTAACATTTGTCAGGGGCCGGGGGCGTCTCTGAGGCGCTACCACACGTCATTATGGTGATTTTATGACATTATTGTGATTAATTGAGCATAATAAATGATAAAACCCCAAAGTGGAGAACTAGAAGAACCAAAAAAAAAGAACCTGCAAACCTGTTTAATCCGAGTGATGCAGCAGGATGTCACAACATAGCGTGCCAGATAAACATCAGCAAATATCACAATTACTTCTACAGGATGAATAATTAATTAACGACACTTAATCTGAAAACAACAAATAACACAACCACACTTGACCTTGCAGTCAAAACACTCAAAGAGGGGAGGTTTTAATGCAACTTTTTCCCTGCTTCTGTTGACACTAAACGCTGCTGTATGTGCAAGAAAGACTCTCTGCACACACACACGGAGTGGACAAACAGGAACACCTTCACACCGTGAGTGCACTGGGTGGGATTAACCCTCCACTAGCTGCTCACATCCCTAAAGGTTAGTCATTGAGTAACGAAAGTGGCCTGTGGCTGTTTTGAGAGGCTGCCGGCGTGTGGCTGAATGAAGGTTTTAAATAACGTTAAATATATAATACCGACACGGCCGTGAGCCCCCAGACAGGAGAGACTACAGCGGCGGTTCCTATGGGTGTGCCGACAGCAGATGTAGACTGTTTATGTATGTCCTCTCTCTCTCTCTTTCTCTCTTTCTCTCAGCCAGATGTGGAAACTTCCCCCCCTCCTCCTCCTCCTCTCCCGCCCTCCCTCTCCACCCCTTAACATCCATTTTAAACGTCTTTACACGCCTCGTTTTTTTAATGTAATTTTTTCGCCCTCTTTGCCGTCAAACAAGCGAGGTTCACCTTTGATAACGTTGCTGTAGATTGTGGCTTTGAAGTCCTCCCGGGCTTGCTGGTCGAAGTCCTGGCCGTGGATGATCCGCATTTGTTTGAGGAAAGTCGACTTGCCGCTCTCGCCAGCGCCCAGCAGCAGGATCTTCACCAGCCGTTTCACGTACGTTTTCTCCCGGGAGAGACATCGGTCGATCTCCTTGGACTTTCGCAGCTGCTCCACCTCGCCGTTGTTCAGCAGGCAGACGGGCAGACAAACTTTTAACACGGACCTCGTCGGCAGGAAATCCGCCATGTTCGCACAAACTTCATCGATGCTAATTTGATGCGCGTTCGCGGGGCGCGGGCACGGGACCAAGCCCCTTCCCTAAACTCAGGAAGTAGTGTCGCTTTGACTGTTTAACGTCAATCTTACGTGACTTTAAAGCTCCGCCGTTACTCACACAAACACTGTTATGTGTTACGTTGTTATTAACATTATTATCCGCGGTTAAAAATATGTCTAAAATATGTTATTTAATACCACGAGTATAACTTGCACGCGGGGACACAAGAATATGACAGTTGGAGTTTGAATGTAGCAGTTAGCGAACGTTAGATTAACTGAAAAAAAAACAACCAAAAAACGTTTATTTTCATGGACACGTTTGGTTAAAATTAAACACTCAGGGTTTGTTTTTAACTGACACAACTGTATATAAATGTCTAAGGTTTAACGTTAATTAAAATAAATCTGAACACCGGACTGGATTGTTGGCCGCACTGGTGAGGCCATGTCGCCCTCTGCTGGCTCAGTTTGGTAACTGCGTAACACAGTTTGGCTGTTGGGAAAAAAGCGGCGCTCTGATTGGTTGATTCGCCTCTATGCTGCGTTCACGATCTGTTGGAAATGTGAGAATTTACACTTGAACGCGCTTCAAACATCAATAAAATGGGAAACGCAGACTGGAAAGCTTCGATTTTATTATATTTCTTTATTATAACTTTTTTTTTACAGTCTGTATGGTATTTATAAAGTGAAAATCACAGACTTGTTGTTAATATTTGATGAATAAAGTGTTGTTTTCTTATCGCTTTGGACTTTTTTTTATATCTCTCGTCATTGATTGATATTGTGCATTTGCATGGTTGTTTTTTTTATCATGTACCCGAAGTGTTATAAAACAAATTCAACTATAACGTCCACTTGAATGGCGACAAACGAGAATGTGACAGCGTGTTTCCAATTTCCAACCTTCCAAACATGAGCTTATGTGGGGTGCTTGAAGGCAGCATCAGTACCTATCATTGCACTACCCCTGTAGCATCCCCACACGACACAGGGCTCACAGGCGACAGTAGCGTTGTATATGTGTGTGTGTGAGTGTG